CAATGCCTGGCATTTAAAAAAAGTCAGGGCTGGGGATGCAGCTCAGTGGTCTACCATGTGCCTAGCATGCATGCGGCCCTAGATTCTACTACAAACAGCGAAAGATCTAGAAAGGTCTTCATGGGCCAGCAAGAGAGCTCAGTGGGAAAGGCAGAGAGGCACAAGCCTGACAACTGGAGTTTGGCCCACTAGGTGAAAGGAGAAATCTACACAGCGGAAGGAGAGAACCAACTCCTCCAATCTGTCCTCTGATCACCACACAGCAGTCACAGTATGCATGTTCATACACATATAAAATTAAAAATTGTACACAGATCTTCTTGATTCTTTGCAGTACCATTTAAAAGTTCACTCCAGCTGTGCAGAGAGGCCAATGGCAGAACATCTGGGAATAGCAGTCCTGAATAGACTGGGCATCCCCTCTCTGAAAATCCAGAATGTTCTAAAGTTCAAAACTTTTTGAGTACCAACATGGTATCACAAGTGGAAATTCTATATCTGACCTTACTGTTGCTGAGTCAAAACACAGGTGCACTAAAGACAGTGCATAAAATTACCCGTAGTCTGTGCATGCAGGTTGCACATGAAACAAAAGAATTTTCTCTTTGGACTTGAGCCCAGTCCTTAAGTTAGCTCCAGTGTATACGTAGATATTCTCAAATCGGTAAAAACACAAATACTTCTGATCCCAAGCGCCCTGGATGGAACAGTGAACACCTCGGTAGCAGCCAGCTCTTAGTGAGAACGTACTACGGGTCCAGGTACTACTGTCAAGAGAGCGCTGCTTCTCAGAATCTCCAAGTCTACTGCTCACGGTGATACCCAGAAAAATCTCAGCTTAGGGCAATATGTCCTCGGTCCATGTCCCGCCAACTTTGAGAAAGACACAGATACTTTTTTGCCTTTTTCCAGGTGGCCAGAGGGGACTGGGGACAATGGCAGGGGACCTGCTTTCCGGCTTTCTGATGGTCACCTGCCTCACTTTTCCCTGGATCACCCCTGCCTTGCCCCAGTTCTAACCCATCTGTTCTTAGAGTACCACCCAGGAATAGCACCTCAAGTCTTACAATCTCTTAGGAGTTCTCCCTCAAGAGCCTGGCTCCTCTGCTCCCCAAAGCTTTGTACTTCCCTGTCCCCTCCTCCCCACCAACCACACATAAGAGTTCAGAGGCTGAGCTCAATCTGACAGCAAACAGCCAAGTTCAAGATGAAAGCCTTTGGCCTGAGGTCAGGGCCAGTCAAGCACAGCATCTAAAACCAGGGGATTGTGTTTCTTTTAAACACTAAACTATAAATAGGGCAAAACCCCAGAAAAACACTTAGAAGCCAGGATCATCACCTCCTTGGCAGCCCCCTCCTATAAGCTTCCACCACCACACAGAACCTCTCAACACTTGCAAATTTCCACCCTTGACCATTCCCCAAGAGGGGGTATTGCAGCCTTCAACTTTGTAACTTAAGAAAAAAAGATTCATTGGAAAAGAATCTTTTTCTTCCACTTCCTCTCAAAAACCCAACTTAGCCACTTTCCATCTCTCTAGTCCTAGACTGTGAGAATTTAAGACGGAGCTAGGAGCTAAAGACGCAGAGGCCTCCAAGATCCCAAGAATCAAAAGACTTATTGTATTCTAACTTACAAAGGCGGGTAAGTAGACCAGTGAGTTTTACAATTTCCACCAAGGCTTGAAACAAAGGTGTGTGTGTGTGTGTGTGTGTGTGTGTGTGTGTGTGTTATTAACCCTCTGTACTCCAGAACTAAGCTAAGTGAACTTTCTCTCCAAAACCTCAATTTCCCTCATTTTAAGCATTTTGGTCAGATATAATTATGAGAGTCTAGTTTTGTTTTTATAATTTGGGGTCAGTAAAAGATATAATCCCAGCACTTGTAAGGCAGAGGCAGGCAGATCTCTGTGAGTTCAAGGCCAGCCTAGTCTACCACAGTGTTCCAGGCCAGCTGGGGCTACAGGGAGACCCTGTAATCAAAACAATAAAGAAATGAGATCCACATAGAAAGCCCTAGAATATCACAAAGTTTGGAGGGGCTGGGGATGTATCTTGGTTGGAGAGCACTTGCCTGGCATGGAGGATGGAAGAAGGCCTTGGGTTCTGTCCCCAGCACTGCGACAAAGACAGAAAGCAGATTTTGTCCAGTCCACAAAACTGTCTTGTTTAGCCTCCTCCGGAGAGACAGAAGGTTAACATGGGCTGAACAATTCAACTCAATACTCTTTGGTGGGGGGAAGAGGGTCTTTCAAAAAGAGCCATGCAGAGTGGTGAACAGCGAACCAAGACAACTTCAGTGACATAGGTGGTGCTGGGTTCAGCCAGACAGCCACAGCGGAGAAGCCTGTGTGTCAATGCCGTGTTCCAGAAGAAACAGAAAAATAGAATTTCCCAGCATTGCAGAGTCAAGCTGAACCAATTAACTCAGTTCACTTTTAGAGTAATGCTCTGGCAGTAGCCAAAGACGGGGGTGGGGGGGGTGGGGGCAA